TTGAGGAGGTTGAAGGATCTCATCTCCACACACACACTGCCAGACTGGGTAATAGTGCTGGAGTGTCAAGGGTAAACAGTAAATGAAAATGCAAGTGAGATCTTTCCTCTTATTTATTGCTCCTTGTAAAGCTGGCTTCGTTTATGCACACTCACCCGACCTAACCAACACGGTTTGTTGCGAACAACTGACAACCCTGCTGCTATTCTTCCTCGTGATACAAAACATGGGCAAAATTTGAAGAACGGAGATGCATCCTGCTTCATCTTGCTGGAGAATGGATGAGATAATGTCATCTCATACATCGGAATATATGTGGCTCGCTCAAGAGTTGCATAGGGCATAGCTGGAAATCCAACCTGCACACATTTCTTCATTTTTGGTGTTAAACGGTAATGCATGTGAAAATGTGAATGATGTATCCGACCAAATGTTAATAATACGTTTGCCTCCTCTGCTACTACTCATCATCATCAACGGTAAATAAATGCGTGGCATGGGACGTGTATCATGTAACCACTACATCTGTTCCCTTAAGTGAGTTGGATACTTAACACTTTGAGAGTAGTCGGAGGCAAAAGTAGCTACTCACTCGTTGTGAGAAAGTAAACCTTTGTCGATAATTACACGACGGAGGGAATATTATGTACGGACGAGAGCCATGATTTGTGCCCCACACACTATCAATAAGGTCGGCTCCTTATTTATGTGTGTATTCCTTCTGCTGCTCCCTACTTAAAAAAACCTAAGCGTTAAAACGAAGGTGTTTGGATACTTTTTATCCGACGGTCGTGGAGGATATTTAGTACATTGAACATCATTCTTCCCTTCCTCCATCTTACACAAGTTATGCGGTAAAACCGCGGAAAAGAACTATTTTTTAACACTAAGTACGTTATATCCCACGATTATGCCCATTAAAAGTCGAATTTTGGATATCCCGCCATAGCTCAAAAACCAGGTCGATTTCGAATAAGTTGTAAATAGGAGAAATCTAAGGTGGGCCATTCCAAAGACGGTCCCACTTTGCTTCGGTCGCTAGAATGTAACATCTTGGCTGTAGTATTGGTAAGAAATTTGCAGCCGAAATTGCGAAAATTTTCAAAGCTTTGAACTTAGCGCCAGACACAAGCTGCATTTCGAAAAATGGTTTATGAGAGGAAATACCACATAGCTCTGAGGAATAATTATCTAGTTGCAATATCTTCAAAAAGTCAATCTTGTTCATGCTACCCTTGTCAGAATGACACGACCCGAAAATCGACATTTTGAATTTTCGCGCCAAAAGGAGGCATGATATGAAAAAAATTTCCGACTAAAATTTGTAGCTATTCCACCTGTGGATATAACCCTGTCGCTGGTTTTTTTTAATCTTTGGCCTAAATCATTTACGGTGGTATTTAGTGTTATTTTGTAAAACAAAACGTTTTGGTGCATATTTCAAAAACGTTTCAAAATTTCGAAAAACGGTATGCGTGCCCTATACCTAGATTTGGGAGACGGTCATAAAGTTCTTTTACCTTATCTTTCTATCTTGTAAGGTTTCGCCACACGAGCATTTTTATTTAACATTGGAGTGTCTGCTGACATACTATACCTTTCATATACACATCCAGCAAGTGAACGTGGATAGAAAAAATAGAAAAAGCAAACCATAGAGTTATATTAATATAAGCAGAGGGAGTACCATTGCTCTTTGTTCAGCGAGAATGCAAGCCACGTGATGTTTTGATTTGGTTGAGAACATAAACATTACGTCATCACTCATCACCACCATCACTAGAATGTTATATACAACACATACAAGGCATGTATTGTATGTATAAAATTCTGTGAGGTTGTTGAGACTCAGTTTCAACGTCAGGTACAGGTACCATGTTACCAAACTTGTTACCAAATTACGATAACCTTCAACTTCTCATTATTTCTTCATGACAAATATTTTCGAAATAATTTTTAAGTAATTCTTAACTAATGTTTCTGACCACGGTCAATAAACCAACTTAGATACACATTGTGGTTGGATGGACCCCACTCCAATCTGCTTGTTTTTCCCCAACATGAGAGCCATCATACAAGAAGTAAATCGTCATTTTAGTCTGTTTAGTTGTGGTTTAGTTTGAGGACTGTCGGTATGGTGGCTCGTTCGCATGCAATTTTAGATCACCCAATCAATTAACCTGCTCCTGTCAGGCCTTGAAGCAAACACAGCACATCACCAAAACGAATATCTTCTTGCACCACCAATTCCATCTGAGTAAACATACTGAGTGGGGTTGCAGTGCAGTGCTGGTGGTATATATCTACAAATTATACAATTCATGCTATGGCGAGGGTTATACGACAGTGTTACATTCGGCATGTCGAGTGTAAATAAACCATGGATGATCCTTATTCGATTTGATTACTTAAAAGCGAACAAAGCGTTCAATCACTGAATTCTATCGCGATGAGCATTGTGCTCGCTTTAAATCCACTAAAAATGCAGTGAAGTGAATCATGTATACATGTATCGCCACAAGTATACATACATCTGTAATGCACATATATACATATCTGGACGAAGAAACAGAAGAAAACGCAATAAATTATATTGTTTCTCACAATATGAGATATGAAACGAGATTTTTTGCCGGAAAATTTTTATATATTTCTAAAAGTATCGTACCAGAGGTGCATGCGTTGAATTCACGCTTGGCAGCATAAATATATCTGGAAGCAATAATTTAGCAAGGGTTCTAATAAAGTTGGATGGTTCGTGATAATTAAGGCATAATTAGAGGCTCCTCTGCATGATTACTGTGTAACCATGCACTTGCATGTATGTAAAGTTAAATGAAAATGAAGAATGGATGAACGACTGAATGTGTGCTAACTGGAAATAACAGGAAAGCACATTTATCATCACTAACCATCCAGGAATAATTCAGAAAAGGAAAGCAGCAACACCAGCGGAGACGCGGGCAACAGATTTCCGCTCTTCTTCGGAAGAATCCGAACCGGGTAAAAAACCCACCAAAGCAATGTTGTCCCCAACCCGATGTGTATATGTACATGCTCCTTCCATCGAGGGAATGCCCGCTCATTGCAACCGGCTCATATCCAATTTCTGTGAACAAACAATGCAAACGACGCTAAACCCGCATCAACAGACTGATCTGACAGATTGGAAAAACATAACACATCCAAATCCCGAATCCAACACGGACAATATGCACGTTGCATGTAAAGCTGGCTGAATGCGAACTGCAAACACGGTCACCAACCAACAACGCACCACCTCGTCCATCGTCGCTGTCAGGTTCAGCAGTGCACGCTGCATCCTTCGTCCGTCACCCTTTTATTCCCGTAATTAAAATCTTATCATATGCTCGTGATGAGGATTTTCTCGAGTTCCAGCTCCCAGTGTTGCTTCGCTAGTGTTATTTTATGACAGCATTTGCCATGTTTTTGAAACTTTAGAGGCCGTTCAGCGCCCGTAAGTAAGTGAAGTGCAGTAGTAGTAGTAGCAGTCCGTCAGTAGTCGTCGTCGGGGATGTTCTCACGCGTCGCACAATGCAGATCAAAACAGTGAAAATATTGCCGTCGTTCGCACATACGTCGACCCCCGGTTCATCCTGCATTCATTAGCTCGCATTATGCAGACTCAGACTTTTTTCAGACTTGCTCTTTCCATTTTGCTGGTGTTGTTATCTAGCAGTGCATGGAACACTCATACTGTTGCGCTGGCAAGCGAGTTATTGTTCTTTTGGAAGAATGTGTAAGTATTTTGAGGATGGTGAGTGGTGGTGGTGGAAGGATGCAATAAAATCTGGTAGCCTCGGGAAGTATGTGTGTACTTGTCTTTGAAGAGAACAGTGTAATTCGATTAATTTGAAATGACAAGATTCTCTCGCAGAGGAACTTGGCTCTTTGACCCTTATGAATTTTCCTACAGGCCATACATTACTGGAGCAGCAGGTGTCCCTTTATCCAGGTGGTGGTGGTGCTGGATAAATTCAGATGCCCAACAACAGACAGTGATCATCATGAATGCTATACATTTTTTATACGGATCACTCGCTACTCCTCGTGCTTATTCAGTCCCCCTTCGTTCATATGTACTCCTCGCAAAGCAAAGGTGAGTCCATGTGGTCGTATAGTTTTATTTTTATTGCTGCCGATGGCACCTTCCCTCAGAAAACTTGGCACCTCCATGGGATATATTTCCTATTTAGGACTATCCCCTGGCTACGTTTATATTTGTACATAAATAGCAGAGTTACATGGACTTATCCTTCCAAGAAGAGACCCCTGGTCGCTCTTCCACAATTAGCCAGGCAAGAACGAACCCTTCCTCAAATCGCTCAAGGGGTCACATATTTCCCAGACCGTTCCCATAACCATTGTCCATATCCGGGCAACTTAACCACAACCTTTGACCCAGAGACGACCACAACAACTCCAAGAACGACTTGTGTATATTGTTTGCTGGGCATGGGGAGAATATAATACAGCTCCAGGGAACAGTTTAATGATGTGCGCAAAGCTCTTTCCTCCAAGCTTCGTATATTGTAATGGTTCGGTGATTATTTAACAATCAGCAAGTAAAACTTTATGCTCGCATTCATGAGAACGCAGCCAAGATGACTGAGAGAGAATCACGAGGAGGAGGATGAACATTTACATCTCTCGGAAAATGATGACCCACGCCATACAGTGGTAACTAACTGGTATGCAAGTTTGGTGGAGAGTGGGATGCAATGCATGCAGTCCGAGAATGAGCACTATTACTTACTTTTAAGCAATGTGACCAAGTTTGAAACGAACCAACAATTTCATGCAAATATAGGAAATATTTATATGTGTCTGCCTTTTTCTCTCCATTTTAGTTACATGTGTACATGCACCCACCAGATAATGGTGATTATAAGTCGGTGTTTTCAATTTTGCACGTTTTTTTGGCAATGAGATGAATGACACGACAGTGCAGATAATGGTTAAATAAACAACTTTTTTACCTCAATTAAGACAACCGGCACCAAGTGAACCGTCCCTTTGAATATTAATCAATTTTTTGATCTGCAACGCTTGTGTCGAGCAGTGGCGAGCAGGTGAGGGCTGAGCATAAGATGTGTGGAATAAGGACGAGTGAATGATCCGACTTTTTGATAGATAAGACAAGCCCAGATGGTGGATGGATGAGAGAGCACACTTCTAATTGGAGTTGAAACAGTAGCCGGACCACATGTAATTTACCCAAAGGTATAATTTTCTTTTTAATTTATGTAGGCAAAGTCAGGTCAACATACTCTTCACCACTTCACTCCAGCAGCAGACGGAGCATCGAATTTCATATCATGTACAACAAAGTGCATCAATACCACAAATTATTATTGCAACTTTTCCAATACTAGTCACTCAAGATGAGAAATGTGCAAACCGAGTCCGAGAGTACCGACTTTGCGTCTCACTCACTTTTCCTCACTTGACAGACAGCGTAGCTCGTCCGTGGAGCGAGTGGTACAAAACCCACGACTTTTACGCGAACATGGGACGATCTGTCCAGGTGGAAATCCTCCAAAATCCGGGAGGCAGGAAGAAGAATTTTACACAGCCTTCCCACTTATTCACTTTGTCTCCATCCACCACTCTCTAATCAAATCAGTGCAAATATAATTTGCACGGCAATGTTTCAATAAGCGTGCAAATATTGAAAATGTATCCTATCGCTTGGTGTGGGGTACATGAGCACCACTTTTAGATGGGCAGAAACGTGTTGTAGGGTTTGCCTCGCCTCGCTGTATTTTATTTCACGTACAAGAGTTCGAATGTAAAAAGGTTGCTTTAACAGAGAGCTCAGAAGAGGAGTGCACAAATCCACCGAGAACTGGGACCCAACTACTGGAGGTGGTTATAACCTCGGCTTCTCAACCCAGCAATTTTGTTAGATCCCAACTTGGCGTTCTCTTCCGTCCCAGTTGTAGCCTGCCGTCGGCATTGATCCGTCCTCCCTGATGCCTAAACCACGATCCCCAGAGGTGAAAGTTGTACCAAAATGTGCCCCAAAAAGCGGGGTTTCCAAGGTCCGATTTTGGCGAATTTATGGGGCTCGTGGGGCTCGGAGCGTGGGGGCGAAGAGCGGACTTTTTATCGAGGAGGGAGATTGTGATGCGGATTTGGGTGTGTTAGGGGAATGAGTGGCGTCCTCCCTGAGCGACCCCCTCACATGACCTGATTGGCAAGATGGGAGTGAATAAGTTTGAGGCGTTATAACTAGAGGATGGAGGAATGGGATAGCCACACTCGGGGCTTGGGCTGTCGAGCATTCTTCCAATGCTAGATTTCGTACAGGAGTTATCATGCTTCGTGAGAACTCCCCAACAGATCGTTGTGTAAAACCTCTTTCTGTTATGCAGTCGCGTTACATGCCATTTGGCTTGGCTTGGTTTACGTTTGGTAGCAACTCTTAGCAAAGAGCTCGCTTAATAGGAAAAAAACTGTTGGATGTTCTCTACAATAAAATAAGCTGGTAAATAGTTAAGTCATTGCTGGCTTCGTTCGTCAAACGGAAAAAAGGACACAAAATGTGTGTATATGTACGTAGTTGGTTACTCGAATGCCCAAAATCTATTGTCAAATGTGGTAGTGCTTGGTTGTTGGGATGCACGATATGCCCTGGGCTGCTTTGTGTTCCCATCTTCTCTCAAACACGCCCTTCAATGTCACGTAAAGTCAAGCCTACCTTGCTTTTTGCTTAATAAATCTAATGTAAGTAAGCATTGTTTGCATTTAATACGTGTTCATGCAGATTGTGGGATTCAGAAATGATGGGAAGAGTTTTATGATGAGAGAGGATTGTTAAATGGGCGAGGGATCCGCCTCTTCACAAACTGCATGACTTTTCTTCTTCTCTCGTCGGAGCCAAATTAAATGCTGCAGAACATGCATTTATGCAATCTGCGTAGAACAAAGCATCAGAAGACGATGACACTAACGAACGTTACATATGCACTGACATTTGATTCCAAAATTCCCAATCTCATATGTACAAGCTCTAATAAATACGTAGTAATGCTTCGTTTGCCACAAGTATTGAGTATTTTTGTCACTTGTTTATCAAATTGCTCTCGCTGCTCGTATGGTTTTGATCGAATATCTAAACAAGTGAATCGTAATAATTGAATCTGTCTTCACTGCAGGATGTCAACTCCTTGTGCGTATCAGAGTACCCCCGATTACACACTTATCTACCCCTGTATCTGCGTATCACCACTCCCCTCTTCCCTTGGCCTGGGTTTGGGTCTCCTCTCTCATCAGTATGATATTAAATGGGTGTCCATTTTCACAGACAAAATGACTCCAACTGGGTGCCACTGTCATGTGACACATGACATTTTTTTGGTTTTGGTTTAGATGGACTATGCACATATCCGACACCCTGGAGCTGATAATGTACAGGAAATAGATCTTCGTTCGACAGTGCAAACCTCACTTGCATGCGGGCAAGAGCGACAGAGTTATTGTTGCTGGGCCATAAATTCCAGATGGACAAAAGCAGAATATGTATGTAATCTTTCCAGTCGAGTGTGCAAGGTAATGATGATTTCTACATTGCTTGGTCTTCTGATGAATGTGAGATTGAAGGGATTCTTTCTAATTTCCAAGTTTCATTCTAATCTCGATTCACCCTCGATACATCATCACATGCAGGACGTAGGAGGCCAGTGGTTAGAGTTATATGTAATGTCACTGCGGTCCTTGAGGAGGATTATCATCCTCGCTACCATGCTGCTTGCAGTATTATTATGCACTCTCTGGCTAGATGATCAACCTTGGGTTTTCTGCATCTGCATGTCATTATGGGGCTCCGGTTTCCATTCAGACTTTTTTCGGAGCTGAGTCACTAATAAGAGTCATTGAGATGTAAAGAGGACAAGAAATATGACATGACATGATGAGATTTCATAAGCAGATCTCTTCAACCCTTCTCCACAACAACCCTGTCCTGCTGCTGCTTGTTTATAATCCCCGAAGCCACTCCAACATCACACTCGCTCCGTAACACTCATCACCACCAACGAATCCACCGTCCAGCTCGAATTACACGAGCACTTAAATCTACTCTGTCGACCAAGTCTCTTGGCACTGCGAATGTATTACGGTCGTCTCTCTTGGATAGAAATTTACACCCTTTTACCTCCCGTTCTGGGTTCACCCGGCTCGAAGAGTCCACCCCGTTCTTGATCATGAGAGGCAGAGAAAGCCGAGTTGGCCATGGTGAAGAAAGGAGACGCCACGACATAATGTCAAGTGGGAAAAGGGTGTGATGCGTACCTAGGTCTGCTTCGGAGGAAAGAAGAGAAAGTGAACGGGGAGCAGAAGTTGAGGTGGAACGAGCTTGAGATTGATGGGTGATTCATGAACGCTGCAGTGTATGTGATCACTTCCAGGTTGTCCACATAAGAAATGCCCCCTTAATTCTTATGAAATTCATCTGCCAAATGTTATCAATGTAAGACAATAATTTGTGTTAAATTAACGTGACCGAGAAATTTGAGCATGACAAATTGCGTGGACGTGAGGCTTGAACGATCGGCTTACATCTTGTCGTAGAGGATATTCGCATGAGAAATAAGGAAGCCGTTCAAAGTTTTGGAGGTTTGCATTTCCTCGGGTTGTGGACGTGGATGTATTCAAACTCCAACCCCAGACCCAGACCTCCTCGCCCCATTTCAACCGTTGTTGGCTGTAGGAAACCACACCACGGAGCGTATTCAAGTAAAAATTCAGCCTGCCCAGTAGCAGCCTCCAAAAACGCCAAAAGTCCATACCTTTGCATCTCCTCGGAGCCTTGTATAATCCAACTCAACCTCTCCCTCTCCACTCTCTCGAGTTATTATTATTCAGCTAAACCCTCGTCCCACAAGCCATTCCCTACGACGCGTTCTTTTGAAGGGTTTGTTCGAATTGTCAAAAGGACGAAAGGATGGCTGAGCGAGAGGCAGCAGCTCCATGCGTAGCAACGATTTGAAGATTGGGTTGGAATTCCAATGGGCAATACATTTCTCCAAAGTGGGACAACAGGGTACATCCCATCCGAAATTTGTTTTCCAACTCCTCCGTTTTTTCGAGCTGTTAAAACTATTTTACGATCCTTCTCTTTCTGGGGGCACTGCCTACTGCCGAAAAATTTCATCAAAATTCCACCTCGCATTGTGCTAAGCAGCGAGGGTTTTGCTTTTATCTCTCCATCCCTTGCCAACCCTGGAGGGCAAACCCTTGGCTCTTTTCAAAGACACTTTTATCCCTCCACAGAGTTATTCCAGCTGTCAGATGCAGTCCCACTCCCTTGCGCTCCTTCCATCCCCCAGAAACCTAAGTCCCAACATTGACACCTCACCCTTGTGTACTGCTGTTGCTCCACTTTTTAAGCTGGAGGCTTTAAAATGATTGTCGTTTCAGGACGCCGCATTGGAATCACATGAATTTATAATGTGATGTGTTTGATGAGCTCTAAACTAAAGAAACAGACAAACGCATGTCCATCACCCCGAGCCAGAGAAATAAAGTATCGACTCGTATTCAAGATGAGAATGTAAAGTCGTAAAAGTCAATATACTTTTACAACCACTCTCCACGAGCAGCGCCCGGTGGTGTGGCGACTCATTGTTGAAACAAGCCCTGAAATTTATGTGTACAAGTCTTCTCAGTTGCACTCTTTAACATCCTTCTGACCAACTGGAAGTATCATCTTACGTACGTAGAAAATACCGTGTACGTAATATGCACAGAGTCAGGGTTGGCGTCGACCTCTGTGTTTTTAGTGACGGGGCAGGTTTCTCGTCTCGTTGCTGGATCGCCCAGACCAAGGTAGGATCCGAAGACTGGAAACTCATCCCCAAAACCGTGGACTGTGTGGCTTGCTGCTTGTCGGGAGCGAATTACGCAATTTCACCTTCTCGTCCTCTCCTGATTTGATTCCCTGGCTGCAACACCCTGTCCATTCCGCTTTTGTGCTCTACACGAGCAAATTATTGTGGGAAGGAAGAAGGACGGAAGGAAAGAATGGCTTGATTTGAAGCCATTGGAGAAAGCCGGGTGGGAGGGTACGCTATCATCATCCTATTAAAAATTACTATCCATCAGCCCTTTTACTACAAATTCTAGAATAATGAAGTATGTTTAAAAGTAATTTGACTCGTTGAATGTATCTCGATTGTGAGTCTATGCAGGCCTTCATTAGCATCCAGACTCCAGATTCTGACTTTATGCCAAGGGCGAGAGCGAGATGAGACAGAGGCCAGGGCCGGGAGGAGACCCTCAGCACAAGTAAATCCCTTGAGATGATTCATGTGAACTTGAACCAGTTTTGATGTTTTCATGAATGAGCACCATTATTCCATTATCGTCATTAATATTTATTTGGAGTTGAGCGATGATGTTTGATTGCCGACTTGTTGGCTTCTGGTCTCAAGACTCAGACTGCCCAATAACAAGTACATAAGCAGGTAGACACATGGGTATAGCCATGCATACTACGGCCTGAGAAATAACCACCCAAAAGAAATTGATGGGAGTTCGGCTGGCTCCAACAAGTAATTTTCATGGACCGCTTTTTACTCAATTTTGTCCTGCCTTGGAGCGATCGAGTAGTGTCCAAGAACCAGGAGCAGATTGGTTTTTGAATCCACAGAGAAGAAGACGCAAAGATTTGGTAAAGAAATCTGGAATTGAGTCCTTGCTCTGGGCTGGAATACGTGTGTGTGGAGATTTCGTCCAGTGCGGAATAAGAGATGGAGGATAATTTGATACTTTGAGGAGATAATGAGAATTAGAGTTCTCTGAGGTCTCTCGGATCCACTTTAATTACCTCACCCACCACCCCATGTACTCCACAAATAATAGGAAAAT